GAAGATTTACTTGTGATGAGTTTGCTCCATTGCTCCATTGTTCTTCTTGTTTGACACCAACATGCATTTGAGGGGTTATGTTACTCTCTCTTGGTGGATTATCATACTCGGTATCACTCCCATCGCTGATCACAATCGTATCTGCACATAAAAGAGAGATTCAAAACAAAACTTTCTTACATTAAAGAGATTTGCAATTAGCTTAAAATCAAACCTATCAAAACACACACAGAAACAAACCTGTCACAGTATTGTTCACATTACGATACTCATCCACCATAATCACCTCATTGTCATCAGCCACATTGTTCCCATTACGATACTCATCCACCATAATCACATCATTGTCATCAGCCACATTGTTCCCTCCTCGACCGATTACCTTCTCAGCCACATTGTTCCGTTCTTGACCGACCACATTGTTCAGTTCTTGATTGGTTAGATTCTCATCATCACATAGTGATTTCAAGTATGAACAATCCTTTACAATCGCGCCAAATCTCTCAACTAATTCATTATACTTATCTTCCATCTTCTTATGATCTGTCTCTGCTTCTTCTTTCAAAATCAAGAGCTCCTCGTTCTTCATCTTCAACTCATCCTCCATTCTCTTAATCTCCTCAACGATTTTCTTCTTCTCCTCTTTCTCAGTCTCAATATCCTTAAGCAAGCGTTGATTTTTCGCCTCGGGTTCCTTAAGTTGGTTCTCAAGATGCGATTTCATAATCTCATTCATTTCTTCTACATGCTTAAACCTTACCTCGAGACTAGCGTAATCTTGTTTCAGACTCTCATGATCCTCCTTGAGGATCTCATGCCTTGTCGTCAATAATTCATCTTGAACAGCAAACATAGTGATTTTCGCCGGAATATCCACCGGAATGTTCTTCTTCTTCTCCGATTTGTCCCGACGAGGTGGTGATGATTTTCCAGACATGAATTCCACAACCCTAACCTGGAACAACATAAAAAAGTGTCAAGCTTTGGTTTATAGAGCTTTACTTTTCCCAATTCTACAAAATTTCACAGATTTTGAAGAAAACCTAAAACCCAAATCGCCAGAATCTCGTTCTAATCTAAAAGTCACAGATTTCCAGAAATTTTCTCGACAAAAGCAAAAATGTACAGTAAAAGAGAAAAGAACAGAAATTTTACCCAGAATCTCTTAACCTTTCTTCGTCGAAGCTACGGAGCAGA